CCCTCTCCCCCCATTACAATATCCACCCATCCACAGATGACCTCCATTCATGCCCTGCTCTCCACCCTTCTTTACTAAATCCTTCCCAACTCTACTGTTGACTGCACTCAGTTCTGTTAGCACTGTCATTGACCGGGTTGGAAATCCGTGTTCAGGTTCATCAGTTCTTGTGTTTTAAGTTGTTTTTAGATCCTACTTGTATGTTGCCTCATTGTGTTTAACTTCCAATTATTAACTTTGCCATGAGTCGCTGTCATGCCAGGTTTTGCTCTTGCAAACCAAAGAAACATGGAGGACATAAAGTCTCACCATGCTGTGTGATTGGCTCCTGCATTTCCCCTCTTTTTCTCCATCTCTCTTGCTCTCTCTGTCTCTCACACGTCTGGCATTTAACATGGACAACAGCCGCCATAGACAATAAAACCTGGACTTTTTTCTTAACGGTGTCTCTTCATATAATTCTCTACAGCTGATTGATTTCCAAATCGTTCACTTACCCCTCCACAGCAAGTCTTATTGAAAGTATTTAAAGCTGGAGAAGGCAGTATATTTATGCCTCACTGGGCAAGAATTGCAAAATGACCTTTTGGAATATTGTAATTCAAGTATTGAGTAGTTTGCCAGAGAGAAAAGGAGACTTTAGCAAATCGTAACACGAGAATTTAGCCAATCAAAGAATCACAAATAAACTGCCTCCCCCAGCTTTGAGTGCATCTGATTTTGGCTTTTTGCAAATGAGTCACCTTACTCCAGAGGATCAGCTGGACAATTGACAATTTCTCATTTATATCTATTGTGATCCAATTGACTGAAATGTTCAAATAAATGCCAAATTGTAATTATGTAGATACTGACCTTATTAAATGGACCGTGTGTCGGACAGATGTGACCAGGCCACCTAACTACAATTTGTCAACGCTGTTATAAAAGTCACTCTATTACCCATGCATGAGTTGCATTCATAGTCATGACTCCGTGTTGCCTTACATGGAAATGAAACAAATGAGTTTCATAGAGTGAAGTACACAGATTTTAAACTTGAGAATAAAATAGCTTTAATTATAGATCTGTGCTCAGTATCATAAGATGCCATGAGTCACCGTTTCAGGCAAAAATAACTGGCTGCATGATTTGTTAAAAAGATCTAATTGCGATCATTCTGACTGATATTGCATATGCGATACATAAAGTTTGAGGAAATGATCATTATTGTACCATTATTCTAATTTTCCTTGCGAAAGTCTCAAGAATAAAACTAAGTTTACAGAATGAGATGCACCACTTCAATACTCAGAATAATACAGAAATGGTATATCTTGCTTTAACCAATATTGCGCTTCCTGCAATTATGATATTGCACTAGCCCATATTGCGGCATCTGTGAAATCGCAGACCTAGAAAAAACACTGGATGTTTAATCCCAGTCAAGGGTAGCTGTAACCCAATATTCTAAAAGGTGCTACTAGGGTTTATCCCCTACAGCGGTTGACACCGTACAGCCAATACGAAAGCAAATTCATTTGATATGTGAAGAAAGTGTCAAGCAATGATGAGCATGGAAATACTCAAGTAAAGTACAAGTAACTCAACATGTTAAGTACAGTAAAGTAAATGTACTTCCCACCTCTGGTGTCAAGATAGGATTGCAGATGTTCCAGGAAGAGAAGCATGTATCTCAACTGTTTCCATAGTGACAGCTTGACCTGATATATATTTGGTGCCAGCCCATTGCGAAACCAGCACATAAGAAGACAATAGGGTTGGGCACAAGTGTCCTCACTGTATCCTCTCATGTTTCACAGTCTTATGTAATCAGCTTAATATCCAAATGAGTCAATAGGAGAATTACACGTGGCCACCAAGGTGTAGCTCTGTGAACAGTAATGTTAGAAATGGGTCTACGTGCTGTGTTGAGTTGACAACTGATTCAGGTCAAAACTGCTCGACATTTGACGTACAATTTTGTAACAACTAAACGGCGTACAACTATTTTCCAAGAAGGAACTCCGAATATAAATTAAAATACTGTAAATACCAGCAATCAAAGCACACAATATCTTATTAACTGGAACATTTAAAAGGGAGAAAAGCCAGTGTTTTATTAGCTGCCTCAAAACCTTCAGGATTTGGAGAGGATCTTCAGAGGAGTGGACCACAATCCCTCCTGAAATGTTCAGCGTCTGACCACTGTGCTGTCCAACAAGGGTTTCTCCACCAAGTACTAACACATGACATGCTTTGCAAGGGGATCAAATTTCCCACAGTTAAATGCAAATCAATTTTTATCTTTTATATAATGTCTATTTCTGGATTTTTTATTCTCACTGTTAAAATAAACCTACCATTACAATTACAGACTGTTCATTTAAAAGTGGGCAAATGTACTAAATCTGCAAGGGATCAATACTTATTTCCTCCACTGTATAATGTAATCAGGACACCAAAAAAAGGTAACTGTATTCCCTTACAGTTACATTAAATAATGTAATCAGATTGCTGTTAAATGTTTTGGATTACGCGTAACTAGTAATTGTGACATATATCCATTTTAAAGTCTCCTTCTCAACCCTGACCATTATATACAAATGTATGAAACACCATATAATAAATGTATTAAATAACAATGCATAACTCTCCTGAACAGGTCAAGAGAAGAAGCTATCAAAGTTGAAGAGAATGTCTAGATCTTTGAAGAAATCTAAGAGTATGTCACAGTTTAGGAATGGTGGCTTGTTGTGTTGCTGTCTGTTAATCTGAAGCATCATCCAGTGGAGAAGACTTTAATTATGTATTATGTCAACAGATTTCCTTTAACTATTAGGTTAGTTTAAAGTAATACTATTACATTTGAATACAAAATATTACGTTCAACTTAATATTATTAAGTTTTTCTGCATTGGTTGCTTTTACGTTTGCTGGTTTTCCAATGAACAGAAAACCATACAGTGTTTATTTTTTAAGAGGTATTAGTTTCTTTGGGAGGGGTGGTTATCTATTATGCATTGACTTTGAGGACCCCTGTCTGCTATATGGTTGGTCATTCTGGTAAGTCAAACCACATCCAATCAGTCTCTCATATAGTTAAAAATGAATGAATACAAAATTCACGTCGAAAGAGTCAGACAGATTTTTGGAAGAAAGCCAGTGCCCTCTTGTGAACAATAAACATAAAGAAGTTGAGGTAGGAACCAATGACCTGACGCAGACCCGAGTCGGAGCGTAAGGCGCGGACATAACGGAAGTTTAGACGGTTGCTCTGGGTGAACGAAAGGAACACTGACAGCATCGTATCAAAAACGAAATTATCATCTCTCCCTAAATTAACACAGTTTCCCCTTTCCCTTACACATGGCGTCCAATTCTAATATAGATATTGAGGGTGCAACCCAGCATCTCCGGGACATTCTAAAGCTCGACCGTCCCGGGAACAGCACCGGTAAGTGACACCGGGAATGAAAAGCGGCTGCGCTGGTTTAGGCCGCAGAAGCTAATGGAATGCTAAACAGCTAGCTAGCTAGCTAAGAGCTAAATTGGCACTTAGCTAGCGTGAGTTGAGTTTAGCGCGCTACTATGGAGTAAAGTTAGCCAAGCAGCAGTTTCACTACCCGGTAACGAAAGCAACCCCATCATGTGAAATCTGCATTTTCGTGTAAATAAAATAACACATGCATTGTATTATTAAATTTCCGTAGAGAAAATAATATGCCGAGGCTTTCTGCGTAATGTTAGAGCGCTAACTGCGGCGGAAATGTCCCAAGTATTTTAGCGTCCCAAGTATTAGCTTTGTACCGAGCTAGCTTATGTCTCTTTCTATTTTCTGGTGTAGGAGCTGTCTCCTTTGCTTTCCAAGTGACGAAAAAGTAAAATATCTTTCTTTAATCGAAAATATATGTGTTGAACTTTATCAATTTGTGACTGAAAAGCCGTAAACGGAGGTGTAACGTTATATTTAAGAACGCACTGTTTAGCCAGAATTATTTCACTGCTAACGTAATCAAGAATTAGCTTAAGCTTCAACTGCGTAGAAGGTCGGTTTATTTGGCCAATTTGAATACACTCGTTGATTTAAGGTTTGTTTGTGGTACCCGCGGCCCAGTAATATTTGGTTGTTTAGAAGCTCACTCCTGTCTGAAGACACTACTTGATTTTTGGAGGGTGAATAGCAAATAAACAGGTTTGCTAAGGTGTAAACAGTATTCTGCGGGTCTACTAACGTTATATCTGTTTGGCTGTTATGCAGATGTTTTAGTCAGACAGCAAATGTCTATTTCTGGATGCCTATATATCTGTTTCACAGCAGACACTTTGATTTGTCATTACAGTTGAAATTGATTACAGTAATCATGGCTGTTTAACTGCATTGTAGCCCAGAAAGTAATGGCTGTGAGCCAGCATGCATTACATTAGCAGGGCTTATTATTATATTAATGGTAAAATCCCCCTGCAGTTTTCCTGATCTAAAGTTTAAAAATATGTATGAAAAAATAATTGTGCTACATAAAGACGGCTACGGTGCTCTTAATATAGTTCGCTATTTGTGTACTTTTTTACATTTTTGTTTTAAATGTTATGTATGCACCATGCCATTAAAGGTGGGGTAGGTAATTTTGGAAAAATCCGCTCGAGTGCGCTAGAATTTGAAAATACACAGCCGGAACAAATCTGCCACTTCCTTACAGAGCCCCTCCTCCAACACACACGAACGCGCACATGACCAATGAGGGCACGAGATAAGTTTGTGCACAGATGGAAGGCTGACAGGCAGGTAGGCCATCCAGTTATTTTAGCCGGGCCGGTTAAAATGATTGGTCGTGCTTTTTACAGTATACAGCTTCCACAGATGACATTTTTTTATGGATTTTTTTGTCAAAGCACTTAAGATATTCAGATTCTATCGGGATGTTAAGAGCATTCCATGGAATACAACAAAAAGTGTATGTCGAGCCGGTTTCTCAAACTTACCTCGTACGTGTAAATATATTCAATAAAAACGTGCTAAACACACATTATGAAGTTATGTAATTAGGATACAGATGACATGGGCACATTTTTTATTAAGTACATTTCCCTGGAATATTTATATAATCTGTATCATAATTTACAAATAAAATGAAGTTTAAAATTCTGACTTTTTAACGAGCACAACTACAGTATAGTCCAAATGCACATTTCTTTAAACTCCAAAAGTTCAATTTTATTGCTTTTAAAATTACTTGAATAACGTTTTATGAATCCGTTTAAGGTGAGTTTATTTGTTATTATCGTCCACTTGGTCAACTTTAATACTGACTGTCACGTGAAGCATAATCACAGAGGTGTCTCATTTTAATTTGATTATTTAAAATGGAGGTAGAGAGGTTTTTGTTAGTAAAAAGCTTGCCGAAATACTTCACAATGATACCAACTTGTGTATTATGATAAATGTTGTTGAATTTTGAATTCAAATAAATGTCAATCATTAATAGTGCAAGGGTATTAAACTTATGATTTTGTTATACTACCTAGCCAAGAGCAATGCAAAGCAGGGGCATTCTAACCATATCCAGCTGTTACCTAAGCTAGTAATTAGCCAGCTACCTAGCCTCACTGTGATGTGAGCAGTGATACAATAAGACACCTCCAGAATAAACATTACCTCATTGCATGCTTTGAATTCACAACTAACATATTTTTACGATGTATCCTAACCTAACCACTGCATTTAATGTCTGTCTTCAGATGCACCATCGAGTGATGGTCCGAGAATGCCGTCTTTTAATGGAGAGCTGAACGGTTTATTGGGAGCAGCAGGCCTTTTGGGAAACACTGATCGGTCCACCATGTCAGATTCTACCAGACCAATCTCCACAGACCTCTGCAGCACTCAGGAGTGTCAGATAATGTGAGTTTATTCTTAGAGTTAAGCACTTGGACACCTTTGAAGGCTTGTTGTCTGTCACATGAGATGTCTCTCTTCCAATTGAGTTTGATCATTGCTTAATGTTTATTTAAAAAAACATGCTGAACTTGAATGTTTGTGCGTCAATTTCAGCTGCCTTTCTGGGGATAATGGTTCCACTTCTCTCCCCATCACCTCCAATAACGTGGAGATTGTGGCGAGTCAAGATTCCAGCATCAACAGCAAGGCTCGGGGCAGCAACAAGGTAAGAAGCCAAAATTGTCAGAAACGTAGTATCACTGTCCATTCAACATTCTGTGTGGAACATTTGACATGTCTTATTTGACATTCATCAACTTTTGAATGGGAAAAACAGCAGTATTTCTATGTAAATGACTCGTGCTGGTTTTTCCTCTAAAATCAAAGGATGAGTTGTAATTCATGCTCCCTAGCTAACTCCTTGCCTTTGTTTAGTGCCAACAATGTTCAATACTAGCTAAAGTGTAGCTTTAAATGGACCCTGCTAAAGGCAACAAACGTCTGGCACCTAGCACAACACAGAGTCCTCACATGCTCTGTTTCTGTAATATGGGCATTAGCAGCTGTAGAATCTCCTATTAGGCCAGTGCAAGACCCATTGCTGGAGGTCAGAACCTCAGAAAGTCAGATTCTTTGTCTGATTTCCAACATTTCTATTGCTTATGTAACATAAGTTATACAGAGGCTGCTGTGACCTCAGGTATGTCAGTGTACCCTGGTGGAATTGGTGTTGCCACAGCCACTAATGATGGTCCTCTATGGAGCTGCGAGGTGACTGCCCTAGCTAGCTAATTCTTGTCATCTGTGGTGTGATAAAAGCTTGCCAACTTTCTTCACCATGATACCAACTTGTGTGTCGTAGGTGTTCCATATAGCTCGCCTAGTAGAGCTGGGAGCCCATATGCTGGCGCGTGTCAATCCCCTCTGTCTCCCCTTTTTTAAAATCTGTTTCTATAATAACGTCCCAAAAAGAACAACATTAAATTCAGAGTGAAGAGCTTGCTTTTGAGCGTGACAAGCTACAGTGCTTTTCACAAATGCAGGCCCCTTAATCGCTACAAAGGAGTTATAAGTGCTTCATTTTGAAATGGCCGGGCTTTCGCTCTTGGAGGCAACTGCCTAATGGTTAAAAATAAAAATCCTGATCAAATTAATGAATTTTGAATTTGTTTTTCATTCAGGTGAAGATTCAACCCGTTGCCAAGTACGACTGGGAACACAAGTATTATTACGGCAGACTGATCGCGGTGTCCAACTCCTTCGTTGCCTACGCCATCAGAGGTGAGTCCTGCAGTCATCACATGCAGAGATCTGAAACTAAAACCATTCTTCAGAGAATTAGGGCAATGATATTGTATGTGGCGGTAATTGTACAATGCTTTGATTTTGTTTTATGTTGCCTTCAAGTTTTTTTCCAGTATTTGAATTACAGCTGCAATTTTCTGTATCCTCTGAGTATGTGGTTGCATAGGCTACAGTGCTGTGGATACCTTTTGATCTCTTTCTTTAATTGAAAAATCTCTCCCCTCAGGAGCCAACAACCACGCTATGATCCGTGTCCTGAGCGTTGGCTCGACGGAGCGCTCCCTCCTGAAGGGCTTCACCGGAGCCGTCACAGATCTGGCTTTCGCTCACCTCGACTCGTCCCTGTTGGGCTGTGTGGACGAGGCGGGCAACCTGATGGTCTGGCAGCTCACCTGCACAGCAAGCAAGATACTGTATCTTGACATGTGGGAGGAATAGAAAAGAAGTGTGTAGCAGGATGTGCAGGTGTGACTTGTGCCGAAAGGGGCGTGAAATCTCTTAGCGCTGGCCAGCTAACCAATCAGAGCAGACTGTGCTCTGGTTTCAGACCGAGGGTGAGAAGAGGTGATGCAGCACAGGCAGTATGAGAAAGATAAAGAGCTTTTTGAACATTAAAGCATGGAGATATGTCCCAGAAGAGGCACTACATACAAATCTGCAAATGAACAGAATATGTCCTCTTTAACAAAAAAACGATTTAAAACTGTTTTTAGTGTTGATGGATTTTAAAATTGCTTCATTTTTTTAACAGACCAAAAAGGTCATTAACATTTTCATAAATAATAAAATGTGCACTCGCTCTTCCTGATTGACATGACAGTAAATAATATACATATTTATATTCAGTAAAGTTAATGCATTAGAGGTAAAATTGACCCCTTTGGTGGTTCTTGGTTTAATAGTCCTATTTTTTTCCTTTTCATCCCATATCCCCTTTAATTCACTAAATCATTTAAATAAAAATAAAAACCTACCTTAGAAAAAGTATTTAACAGAGATCAGGGGGTAGAAATGATTCCCTTGGCGGTCTAGTGTTAAAAGAGTGCCGTACCCATCACACGCCTTTGGTTCCATTTTCCCTAACCCTCGCTCCCTGCAGTGATCAGGTCGTGGTTCATATCCGACGGCCAGAAGACTCCCTGCTGAACTCCCACCGCCGCCTCATATGGTGCCCGTTCATCCAGGAAGACAACGAGGAGAACCAGGACGACCCCAGCCAGACTTTAGCTCTTTTGCACGAAGACTTGGTAACATGATGTTTGAGTTTCAGAATCAGATCACTAGAGGGAAAAAAAAAGTAGGCTTTGCATCCATTATTGTATCCCCCTCTTTGTCTAGGCTGAGGTGTGGGACCTGGAGGTCTTGAGGGCCACCTACAGCAGTTGGCCCGTCGATGCTGCCGACGTGAAAGATGGCCTCATCACAGTCAAGGGACACACACAGGTAAACCAGTAGTGTAAAGAATGATTGTATAATGTTGAATATTGCTCAACTAAGGCCCTTCAAATGGCGCCTTTTTCTGAGCACCAGCATCTTTTTTAGCATACACAGGGCTTAAGTAAAAAATGTATCAAATGCAGTACATTTCAACTACAAACAAAGACAGAGAAGTACTATCAGTGATGCAAATTAGTCGCAACTTCTCACTTCAAAAAAAGAAGAAGAAATCTAGATCGCAAAATAATTAAACAAGAGGGGGCCTGTTTTTCCTGGCCAAGGACAGGTTCATTGAACACAACACGAGCGTAACGTGTCTTCACGTGGTTGTCTCGTCTGAAAGGAGTAACGGAGAGCATTGGAATGCCCCTCCAGCTCTTCAAATATTGCAGTACCCATAAGGAGCCGTACACATGCCGCAGTGTTTGCGAGGCTGTGTCTTTAGTTGTAAGCACAGTGGCGATCTGTTGTTATTAGCATCTGGTTAGCTAGCTATGCTAACGAATTTAAAGAGCTTTTCTACAACCAGGTGGAAGAGAGCTCTCTCCTGAGAGGCTCAAATAACCTCAGCTCAGTGAGGTTAAGGCACACCTTGATATGATCATTATAATTATTAATGAGACATTAGAGACTAGATTATTAACAGGTATAAAATACTATATGACAGTAACAAAAAAAAGTTGTTAAAAATAACAAGAATAGAGTTTGAAATGGGAGTGATTTGTAAAATATCCAAAAAGAAAAATCTACTTACAGTTCTGTTTCATATGGGTGTTGAAAGTTGTATCCATAGATCTCCTCATGTTGCTCTCAAAGTGCACCAGATTGATGCTTTTAACTTCAATATTAAAAAAAAATCTTCCCGGGGGAGCATGCCCCCGGACATCCCGAGAGGGGGTTAGGTCCCCCCCACTTAAATCATGTTCACAAGGATAGGATACTAAATACATTTGCACACATCTTGTGTCCTTATCTTTCTGTTTTGGTGGTCATGCTACAACCGTGCACGTGAATGCATGCATGCGTCAAACATGAGTCATGGTGAGATATCTGGATTAAGAGGTTGCTTTTTCTTTGCACAGCATGAAAGAAGGGCCAAATGAATGGGCTGTGATTTTAGTTTTTTTAAGCAGAGGTTGAGTTCAATAATTTGTACGGCCCTCGGAGGATGTTGTACAAATTGAAAGGAAAAAGGTTCCCCACCCCTGCTGTAAATAATAATAAAAACCCTTGATTTATAACATAACATCTCTGTCTCCTATTGATCTGAGTAAATTATAAAGAACAGCCAGTTAATTGAAGGATTATAGCACAGGCCATTGTCAGATGGTATATTACGCTGTTTTTTTTCTGCTTCGAATAGTTCTCTCTTTTTTCACCATACCTGTGTTTGCATCACTGTACTATAGTGGTGTACTGCACAATTTTGGATTAGTTGAACACATATCCCGTGCAGTTCTGAATGTGTTTGTTGTTTTACGTCTGCCTCTCCAGCGTGTCAGTGAAGGGGCCCTGTCTCCAGATGGAACCGTGTTAGCCACAGCCAGCCATGATGGATACATCAAGTTCTGGCAGATTTACATAGAGGGGGGGCAGGACCAGCCCAGGTAAGCAAAGGGAGTTTTAAAATGCACATTTATATATTTTTAATGAAATATATAAACATTTGTTTTAGCTCTCACCTACTCTCTGGCTTTGGGTTTATTGTAACCAAATTCTTCCCACTTTTGATTTGTATCCAGATGTCTTCATGAATTGCGGCCTCATGGAGGACGCCCCCTTTCCTGCCTTCTTTTCTGCGACAACCACAAAAGACAGGACCCCGAGTTAGTAGACACCGGTGCACGCAGCTTTCAGGGAGGATTGTCACAGAATTCATATATTCATCTGAGGCTGTTGCTGTTCTCTTAACGTTCACTCTTTGTAGGGTTCCTTTCTGGCGGTTCCTTATAACTGGAGCGGATCAGAACCAGGAGTTGAAGCTGTGGTGCACTGTGTCCTGGACCTGTTTACAGACCATCAGGTTACTGCTTTACTCCATCATTTAAAGTTCAAATCCTTCTTTGAACTGTATTCTGTAGGGATGCTCCGATCGATCGGCCGCAGAATACAGTTCAAAGAAGTGCAAGGCTGCATGCATGACTCATTAAAGTGGAATGATGTAGTTAAATATGTTTGTCTGGTAGTGTCCCATCACATACTGTTGGTGATTAAGACTAGTCTGAATTTGATTCACTGTTCAAAAGACTTGTTGATAATTATTCCTCTAATCTGAAACTCGTCCTATTAGTACTGTTGTATGAAAGCAGCATGTTGAAAGATGCTAATGCTGGTGGTTTTCCTTTGTTTAAAGGTTTTCTCCAGATATGTTTAACTCATCAGTTCTGCCAAGTCTGAAGGCGAGCCTGGACCTCTCCTCAGAGTTTCTCATCCTTACTGACGTCCAGAGGAAGGTCAGCAAAATGATGTTTACAAATACGATATATCAACTTTTAATGACTTAGTGGAGATTTACAATTCAAGCGTGTTGGTGTCCCTTTTGAGAAACACTAAAAAGCTGACATTGCATTACCATTTACCACGTCATACATATGGCCTCATCTTTGTTGTTGTCGCTCTTTACCAGGTTCTGTATGTGATGGAGCTGCGGCAGGATCTGGACAAAGGCATGGCCACCTTCACAGCTGTGTCAGAGTTCCTCCTGACCCACCCTGTGCTCAGCTTCGGGGTCCGGGACGTCGCACACAGCCGACTGCGACACACTGAGGTCCTCCCTGCTGAGGAGGAGAGCGAGAGTCTCACAACAGGTGTGTTTATGCCACTGCAGTTGTAGTACCAACATTAGGCCACTATGAAAATGTGCTTTAACGCCCAGCTAACTTCCCGGGTGCTTGACTCTAACACAATCACGTTAAAACAAATACGTACCCTTGCACCACAAAACCACCTAACCTGCAATCCTGGTCATTCCTCTTACCATAGTTTTTTGCTATAAACACATTGTGTGTTGTCATTTTAGAGGTCAAAGAGGTTACCACACAATCTATATTGCCTTTTATTCAACTGAAAGGCGTGGTAAATATGTAGCAGCATTGATCCTTACTAACTCTGCAAATGCTTTGTGTGGGTATGTTTTTTCTTCCAGAGGGAATTCAAGGATCAACAGAGTCCAAGTCTGGGATCCAAATTAAACTTTACTGTGTTCACACCAAGTACGTTTTTCCCCAACCGTCCCAAGTCAATACTTGTTTAGATTTTATTTTGAGAAAGCAGGATACAACCCTGGGTATGAATGTGCCCATGCATGTATATGAGGACTAGGACTGAACTGAGTGAATTTGTGTGTTTCCAGGAGCCTACAGGATGTCCAGATCTGGTTTCAGCCCAACTTGAGTTCCAACTTTCCATGCTTCCTGCCCCATTCTGATTCCCAGGATGGTTTTGGTAAGTCATAGTCGCAAGAATACCAAACGTTCCACAGAGAAACAATACAAATCCAAAATCATGGAGGTGATGCAGCTTTAGGTTTACCCAGACGTCCTACCAAAAATGGTCAGTGTCGCATAAATCCCAAGACTTTCCCCCAATACATCATGACAGAAGGAGGAAATGCGTTGAGATTATTTATGCTGTTATATAAGAGAAAACATAGTATAAATCTTACTCATTCAATCCAATATTTGTTGCCACAGAGAATTGATGTAACATTTTTGTGATCCCCAACAGATCCCTTTCATTGTGTGTGTTTTGGCACAATGTGGAATATAAATATTTTTAGATAAAACGGTATAATGTTTTTAAATTAGTTTGACCCTTTTGGTACATATAAACTACATTATTGTATACATTTTTTTCTCAGTCTTTTGCTTTGGTTTTTTACTTTAAATTTTACAAAAATGTGTCGGCATAAATGACAGAACAGACATGTATGTTCATTACTCAAATGTTGTGTGTCCAGCAGGGTTTTCAGACCATCTCACTGACCAGAGCTCAGACAAGGAATCAGGAAGTGGCTCCCAGACCGACCTTCGGAAGATCCCATCACTTCCTGCTCCAACTGACTTCCTGTCAAACTCAGGGGCTAACAGCATTACCAAGCTGATGACCCCCGATGCCTTCATGACACCCAGCGCTTCGGTACGGGGACACAAGCTTTATCTACTGCTTCTTTGTTTTTTATTCATTAACAAGCAGTATAGGCTGTATGGTTCATGTCTGAGTTTCAACATAGAATGCAGTTTACAAAATAGCCATTAAAAGGACATCATGCTTCAAACTTTTGTATGCGTCGCTTAGCAACATCTTGCTCCATCAATAACACCTTCTCCCATGTATTAAAGCTGGCCCTCAGCAAACACAAGGCCATAACCTTAGTAATAGACAACATCTTTACCTACCACTGAAGAACAGCAACAGTGTTTTGTTATCTAATCTGTACGTTTTTTGGGAACCATACCATGATACTTGCTGTTTGTAATAAATCACTGTTATGTCACAATCTAGGTTCCGGCTTCTCCTGGCAGCAGCGCCAGCAGTCTGACCATTGTGACCGCTATCAGCAGCAACTCTGACTCTACTAACAGGTACACTTGTAATATGCAAATAGGATTAGGACATTTCGCAGACTGAAAACCCACCTGTTTCCAGTGCACCTTGTTCTAAAAACATAAATAATAATGAATAAATTACAACACTTACAAGGTTTATTTGAAGGGAATGCACTCGCCTTAGAATGCTTTGACTTATTTTAAGCAAATATACCTGCATGTCTCTTGCTTTTGTTTCTGCATGGTTTATTGCACTTAATGCGAGTTGCTTTGGATTAAAGCCTCAGCTATTTTAAGTGTAAGGTCATGTAATATTTTATAATGTAGTAATTGGAAGTCATTACTTTCATCTATTTGCTCATCCATCTCTTCCTCTTTTAGCTTTAAATACAGACTTTTTAAATAATAACAAATCTCCAGTGCCCTGTACTACGAAGCAGCGAAGTAACTTCAGGGTTAGCTCAGGGTTTCCGGTCCTACGAAGCTGGTTCACTTCTTACCGGGGTAGATCTCCATGGTAACTGATGCTGAACACATGACCTGCTCCGTAGCAGGTCATGTGTTCAGCATCAGCATCGCGTTTGTTAGGGTTAGTTAAGCCAGGTAGGTAACTCAAACATATCCAGGGTCTGTTTAACTGGCTTCATCATACAGGCCAATGCTCTTATAGTCACTCATGGTTTTGCGTGTGTCACTGTGTGCAGAGCTATGGACGATGTGAGTCAGACTCCTAACAGAGCAGAGAACAACAGCAGCAGCAGCAGCAGCAGCAGCAGTCTGGCTCTCTCCACCAGCAGCCCCCGACCTGCCTCTGCTGTGCTGCTGCCCGGACTGGAGAGCCTGCAGGTAAGACATGAGGCACTACGCAACTAATGCTAACAAAAGGCATGTTTGTTTTAAAGAGCACATTTCAACTAAGCTTTTCAGTGTGCTTTGCAGACACATTAATAACAGTCAGATAAAAGAAACCCATTGTAAAATGTACTCAGCCCCGGTACCGGGGGCAAAACGCAACATCTTGCAAGAAACAGCGTCTCAGGGCTTTTTAACATTTAACAAACTATGAATGTATCATATCCACTTGACGGGAAGAAACTCAGCTATCAGACAATATTAACAATGTTTAGCTAAACGAAACACAAGGGTAATAACAAGCCTCTGAATTAGCCCTGAGCGAAAAAATGCTAAAAATGAAATTAGCACAGAACTCACGGTAAAATATCCTTATTACTTATCGGATCTGCACAAATAAGATATCAGCTAGCAAGCTGAGATTCCACAGATTCTAGAATAAAAGTATCATCACTGAGCGATCAAAACTCGCGGCAGGGGAAGCAAACTCCGACATCACACAACGTAGCTTTACGGAGCAAAAACGGAAAATATGTCTTACTTTTTGTTGTTTCTGATCAAAAGTTGTGTTCAATGGCATTAAAACGCTGCTGAAGGTTAATCCAATGTCTCTGTGTCACTTTGAAATGATTACTGATAATCCTTCTTCATATTTATGGCAATAAGCCTAGTTTTCAGTTTTCAGAGTGTATGACAGCTTCCGGTTTTGGGCATTCTGGCTACGCATCGCTCATCACCAATGGGTAATGTTTAGATGGATTTTTAGGAATTTCCTCTCGATTCTATTGGCTTTAACGGTTAAAAAGAGAGAACCAACTAAATCGACCGATGGGTTCCAGATAGGGCTGGGCGATATGGTCTCTAAATTATATCGCGATATTTACTGACTATATCGCGATACACGATATATATCGCGATATTCTGAAATTTCCTCTAAAACACATACTTTTTTTAAAATGTAACCCCTTGATGTTTACAGTAACGCCAGTATGATGATTCTAGTAGTCCCTGCAACATATGTCTGCATTAAAACATTGTTATTTATACTGTCTTCATTCGTGGTTTCTATTAAAACAATTTTAACCAACACACAAAAAATATATACTTGTATAGGCCCAGTTAGCTGCAGTGTAACGGTTATATTAGCCTACATATATTTGCCTTGAGTAACATTAAGGAGGTTTGGGTTTTTTGTAGCCTCACAGTCTCAGTCACACAGGGTCTGCCACTAACTTAACATTGGACTGAGAAACTGTTTTTTTGACAGTCAGTCGATGTGCACATCAGGCTACAATATAGAAATAAATGTGGCTCATAATGTTGGCTAACTGACTTTCTGCTTCGTCATTCTGTACCATACGGGGGGTTCTGAATACATCTGTGATTTTTAGCACATTTCGCTGCCTCCTCCTCGCGTGCTTTTTTCTCCCTTTCCCTTTCTGCACCACCTTTCCTCCTTTTTTTCGCAGGATGGGGGTCCATCCTTCCACAATTATTAAGGCTGCCGGTGTCAGCTCAGTCGGTCCAGTCCACACTAATACAAACAACAGCGCGCTGGTCTCGTGAGAAACGGAGTGGAACAACCATCTTCATTATTCTCCTGAAATGTAAATGTGCCCAATCGCTAGTCTGACAGGTGCGTGGTTCTCACTGCGCCTCATACCGGTGCGAC